CAGCTTTCACCATTAAATATAATGTTAGCTGTGGGCTGTTGGGGACTGACATTATACTTTCCTGGTTTAAGAATTAAATTTAGTGAACAATGTACATGCTCTGCCCAGAGTGTTTGAGAGTAATGTGTTCCAGACAGGGTCCTTGTGACAAACAAGGTTGCTGCCTAGAGGCACAACAAAGGACTCGAGTTTTTGCAAGTAAGCAAGAGGTGCCCAGCCCCACGGCAGTGGGGATCTGGAGGCCACATGATAAACACATTGTTTCTAGGATTGCTGCTTAGCCCCATAAGATGGCTGGTTAGTCAATGACGGGTAAGATTCCTCAGGGAGGAATGACCTAAGACAGACACAGCAGCCGGGGGTCAGCCTAGAGGAACTGGGAACAAAAGTGCCCCCCGTGGCTGCCTTGCCTAACTTTGCTAATCTCGGTCTGTAATCTATGCCTGGCACCTAGAGCAACCACCTGGAAACCTTGAGTCAGGGGACATCTGTGTCCTTACGGCTATGTGTTCTGGAATTTGTGGCCATTGCTGTAATGCCTGGGTGGTCATGTACAGGGAACTAACTTTAATTTTTTAGAGTATAAAAGTAAACTGACCAATGCATTGGGCACTCGAATCTTGTACCTGTCTTCATGTGTATTTTTCTTTTTGTGTCTTTCTTTGTGTTCTGTGTTCATCCCCCGACCTGCAAATGGGCCACGGCAGTGGGCTTTTAATATAAGGTTCTTATGATGTTGAGGTACATTCCTTTCATACCTAATTTGATGAGAATTCTGATCATAAAAAGAAGTCAAATTTTGGTCAAATGTACTTTCTGTATCTATAGAGCAGATCATATAATTTTTATCCTTCATTCTGCTAATATGGTGTATCACATTTCTTGATTTGAGTATGTTGAACCATCTTTGAATCCTAGGGGTAAATTTCACTTGGTCATGACGTATGATTCTCGTAATGTGCTGTTGATTTCAGTTTGCTAATATTTTGTTGATGATTTTTGCATCCATATTCATCAGAGACATTGGCCTGTAATTTTCTTTTCTTGTAGTATTCTTGACTGGCTTTGGTATCAGGGTAATGTTGGCCTCATGAAATGAGTTTGGAAATGTTATCTCCTCTTTACTTTTTGGTAAGAGTTGAGAAGGACTGGCATTAATTCTTCTTTAAATTGTTGGTAGAATTCACCAGTAAAACCATCTAATTCTGTGTTTTTCTTTGTTGGTAGGGTTTTGATTACTGATTCAATCTCCTTACTCATTATCAGTCTGTTCAGATTTTCTGTTTCTTCATGTTTCAGTCTTGGTAGCTTGTGTGCTCCTAGGAATTTATCTACTTCATCTAAGCCATCCAATTCAGTGACATGTAATTATTCATAGTAGTATCTTACGATTCTTTGTATTTCTGTGGTATTGGTTATAATGTCTCCTCTTTCATTTATAATTTTACTTATGTGAGTTCTCTTTCTTTTTTTCTTGGTTAGTCTAGGTTTGCCAATTTTGTTTACCTTTTAAAAAAATACTCAGTTTTTATCTTTTCTATTTTCTTTCTAATCTTTATTTCATTTATTTCTGCACTAATCTTTATTATGCCCTTCCTTATGCTAACTTAGGATTTAGTTTCTTCTTATGTTTTTAGTTTCTTGAGTTGTAAAGTTAGGTTGTTTATTTAAGATATTCATTTTTCTTAATGTAGGCATTTGTCATTATTAACTTCCCTCTTAGAACTGCTTTTGCTTCATTCCATAAATTTTGGTATGTTGTGGCACCATTTTCATTTGTCTCAAGATACTTTCTTATTTGCCTTTTGATTTCTTCTTTGACTCCTTAGTTGTCCAGGAATGTGTTGTTTTATTTCTACATATTTGTGAATTTTTCCAATTTTCCTCCTGTTATTAACTTCTAGTTTCATATCATTGTGATAATATAAGATACTTGATATGATTTCAATCTTCTTAAATCTTTTAACAAAAACAATCTGTTGTTTTGTGGCCTAACATATGATCTATCCTGGAGAGTGTCCTGTATGTGGTTGAGAAGAATGTACATTTTGCTGTATTGGGTGGAATGCTCTGTATATGCCTCTTAGACCCATTTGGCCTATAGAGTTTTCAAGTGCATTGTTTCCCTATTAATTTTCATTCTGGATGACCTACCCATTGTTGAAAGTGGGGTATTGAGGTCCCCTACTATTAGTGTATTGCTACCTATTTCTCCCTTTGATTCTATGAATAAAAAATTAATTAAGTAAGAGAATATAATAATTATAAATATATATCCACCTAATATTGAAATACCTAAATATTTAACGTATAAAGCAGATATTAAGTATAAAAATTATTATTGCATAATGATGTTCTTTGTGTTTTATGGTAGTTTTTCACTAAACTCTATTTTGTTTGCTGTAAGTATAGCCACCCCTGCTCTTTTTTGTTTACTATTTGCATAGAATATAATTTTCCATCCTTTCACTTTCAGCCTTTATGTGTCCTTAAAGCTAAAGTGAGTCTCCTGTTGCTAGCATATTCTTGAATTTTGTTTGTTTAACCCACTCAACCACTCTATGTTTTCTATTACAGAATTTAATATGTAAATGGAATTATTGATAGGTAAGGATCTATTACTGTCTTTTTGTTAATTTTTTATGACTGTTTTGCAGTACCTTTGCTTCTTTCTCTCTCTCTTGATGTTTCCCTTTGTGATTTGATGATATTTTTTTGTAGTGGTATGCTGTGATTACTTTCACTTTATCTTTTATGTATTTACAAGAGGTTTTCTTCTATGTGGTTACCATGAGGCTTACATAAAACATCATATAGTTATAACAGTCTGTTTTAAGCTGATAACAACTTAACTTCAATTACATAAAAAATTCTACATTTTGGTTCTTCATATCCCCACATTTTATGTTATTAATGTCATAATTTATATCTCTTCACATTGTGCATCCATTAACCAATTATTGTTGCTATAGTTATTTTTAATATTTTTTTGTCTTTTAACTTTTATACTATAGTTAATAGTGGGGCAGGGCATGGTGGCTCATGCCTGTAATTCCAGCACTTTGGGATGCTAAGATAGGAGGATCACCTAAGGCCAGGAGTTTGAGACCAGCCTGGGCAATATAGCAAGATCTCATCTCTACAAAAAATTAAAAAAAATTTAAACAAAGCCCTTTTATGCTATAGTTGAAACTGATCTGTGCACCACCATTACAGTATTAGCATGTTCTAAATTTGACTATATATTATCTTTACCAGTGATTTTTATACTTTCATACGTTTTCATGTTACTAATTAGCATACTTTCATTTCAACTTGAAAAATTCCCTTTAGCATTTCTTGTAAGGCAGGCCTAGTGGTAATGAACCCCCTCAGCTTTTGTTTGTCTGAGAATATCTTTATCTCTCTTTATACATGAAGGATAGATTTTTCCAAAGATAGTATTCTTGGTTGTCAGTTTTATTTCCTCTCGACACTTTAAACATACCATCCCACTCTCTCCTGGCCCACAAGGTTTCTGCTGAAAAATCTTCTGATAGTCCAGTGAAAGCTCCCTTGTATATGAAATCACTTTTCTTACTGCTTTCAAAGTTCTCTCTTTATCTTTAACTTTTGATAATTTGATTATAATGTGTCTCAGTGTAATCATTTTTGGGTTGACCTTCCTTAAAGAGCTTTGAGATTCATAAAGCTGGATGTCCACATCCCTCCAAGGATTTGGAAAGTCTTCAGCCATTATTTAAATAAATGTTATTCCCCTTGCTTTTTCTCTTTTGTTTGAATGTATATTAGTTCACTTGATAGTGTCCTATAAATCCTGTAGGCTTTCTTCATTCTTTTTCATTTTGTTTTCTTTTTTCTCCTGACTGAATAATTTCAAATAGCCTGTCTCCATGTTCACAGATTCTTTCTTCTGCTTGGTTGAGTCTGCTGTTGAAGCTCTCTATTGCATTTTTCATGTCCTATATTGTATTATTTCATTCCAAAATTTCTGTTTGGTCCTTTTTAAAGATTGCTGTCTCTTTGTTGAACTTCTAGTTTTGTTCATGTATTGTTTTCCTGATTTCATTATGTTCTTGTAACTTGCTGAAGCTCTACAAAAAACTTATTTGGAATTCTTTGTTAGGCAACTTTTAGATCTCCATTTCTTTGGGGTTGGTTACTAGAAAATTACTGTTTTTCTTTGGTAATGTTATGATTCCTTGACCTTTTGTGTCTCTTGATGTCTTGCATAACAATGCAAGACTTTTGCTTTTTAAGAAGCAGACATCTCCTCCAGTCTTTACCGGCTGGCTTTGGCAAAGACCTTCCACAGTTAAGTCTGGCAGTCTCTCCGACCTTTCATATGGACCCACCCCGCTTCACTCCTCTTGTTCCCTCTTGCAGGGGGAGTCTTAGGATTGTATGCCTTCTCTTAATCCCACAAAGCCAGACCATGTGATAAGAGCCTCCTGTTTATTTTCTCTAGAGCAGTAGCCTGAAATGTTCAAGGTTAAGCACCTTCTCCCAATCCTGTAGAGTTGAACTGGCTGTCTGCATGTGCTTTTACATGATCTTCAGAGGCTTATGCACACTGGCTTCAGGAGCATGTGGGTATGGACAGTGTGCAGAGTACTGGGGGCATGTGTGAGCTAGTTGAGGGGGGTCCACAGGTGATATATTCTACAAGGTTTGTGTGTGGGCCTCTTGATGAAGTTTGTAAGGTGGTTAGTAGAAACTGTGACCCTTTGTTGAGTTCTGTGCCCCAGTTGCTATGGGCCTATACCTAGCTACCCCCAGACTATTTAGCTATGTCAATCCCTTCAATGTCTTTGGTAGAGTAAGAAGGAAGTGGGCCATTCCACATGGCTGAGGAAGCTAGGTACTCACTAGAACCTCACTTTCCTCCATGGTAGAAAACATGGGCTGAGAGGACCTATCTTGTCCTATGCCTTTGGGGAAGGTTGGTGCAGTAAAAGTGAAACTGTTCTTCTTACCATCTTCAATGTGTCTATTCTCAGAATTTTTGCTCTAATGGAGATGCTGGGACCTCCTGCTGGACTCCCAGGCCCCCAGAAAGGTACTGTTGTCCATGAGTGGTTGTCAAAATTGGTGTGTCTGTGGGGGGTTGAGGGTTGAAAACTCCTCTTCTGAACTATTGCTGGCATTAATCCTCAGTTTGCTGGTTTGTGAATGATGAAATTAATAACTTCTTTTTATTTGTGCCCCAATATTTGTCCCTTAATTTTCATTTATTTTAATTTTAATTTTCGCTTGAAGTTTCACATGTACCCAATTTATAGGATCATATCATTAAAAAGTCAAATAATTAAAAGATTTTTCTTTTCACCCAGCATACTGAAGACTTGATATTTATACTGAAATAAAAAATATATTTAATATACCAAAATAAACGGACATTGTATTCTCTAAAGTTCTTAAATAGATTCAGCTACGTACTGAGCCACTAACAAAGAACCTAAAATAAGTCTAATTATGATAAGTCAAAACAATGTGCTTCATTAGAAATTGATGTAAAGCACACATGAATCAAGAATTTAAGTCGCACCTGTTCCTAGGACATATGATATCCTTCTAAGCACCTTTGATACCGAGTTTAAGATAGGTGTCCTCTTATTTTTCCACTTTTCCTGCTTCATGTTAGCTTTTTTTATTTTTAACATTTTATTTGCTAGTTTAAAAGTTATTAGTGGAAAAAGCCAACATTCAGGATAACACTTTTCTATTATCTGCTCCTCCCCATCACTCTGTTTTCTGAGAATACCCAGTTATCTTCTTCTCCCACTCCCAGGTCACTCTCTGCACCCTACAACCAATGTTGTTCTGAACTGGCCCAGCCAGACCTGTTTCCCCCAATGGTTACATTATTAGGAATCCCATGAGCCTGTTGCTAAATACTTGGTAGCTTGACATTTGATACTGGGAAAGTATTTGCATCAAGGGAATCAGTCAATGCTACTAGTGATTCCTCCATGACTCCAGAATTGGTTGTTAAACATTTACTTAGAACACCACTGCCCACAAACCCTCAGTAAAAAAGCAAAATATTCTATATCCAAAGCTATTGCTTATAATCAATAGTTGTAGCAAGCCCTCTTGTGGTTGTTATCAGAATTGCAGAAGATGAGAAGATACGGTAAAAAGATCAAGATTTCATGCCAAACGCATTTTATATAATGGTTCAGAATGACAGTGTTGATTGTTGTAGTTTAATGCTGACTTCACCTGAGCAGGTTTCTCTCAAACCACCCAAGGAACATCACCTACATATCCCTGCTCAAGAGTTGTAAATATCTTCAAGTGTATTTTCTTTGTGTCCATAGAGCAAAGACTATATTACTTCTTTTTAAGAACATGCATTGTCGTGGTTTACTGTGGGCGAGTCACAGGAAAGGTGGTGTGTTCTGAAATTGTCTGTGTTTCTTAGTCATACAATGAAGCCATATGAGGAATGCAAACCAGTCACCACTGCACGTTAACTCAAAAACCACAGCAGCACCCTCCTCCTTAACACCCTGCAAGGGTTTCTGTTGTATCTGAAATAACATCCACCTCTTCACCAAGCCTCATGGGCCCTGGGTGGCCCAGCTCCTGCCACTTCTGCTCAGCTTCCCTGGATGTCCCTTTTTTGTGACTCAGGGGTCAGCTCAAAGGCCCACTCAGGGAGCCTTTCTGGGCACCTGCTCCAAACCAATGCCCACCCACCCATCTGTCATTGGTAACATCACGGGGCTTAGTTTTCTTCAGACCGCTTATCTCTGTCTGATAGTGTCCTGTTTGTTTATATGTTCACCATCTGACTGCCCCGTAGAATGGCAGCTGGAAGCTCTGTGTAGGCAAGGCCCTTGCCGTCTTGCTCACAACATTTTCCCCAAAGCAGGCCCCTGGTGTGAGTTGCTGGGAAGACTATGGATGTCCATGGGCAAAAGAATTGGGAGCCCAGCACCCACCTACCCTCCCACCCTCCCACCCCAGCTCTCATTTGGGTGTAGGGCAAACAATTGGCCCATTTTTCCAGGGACTGTCCCTGTTTTAGCACTGAAAGCCCACAGTCTGGGAAACCCTTTAGCCCCAGGCAAAACCAGGTGGTTGGTCACCTTAATACAATATAATCTAGAATTACCTTTTGGGATGATTTTGAAAATTAACTTAAATGATATTACATTTTTTAAATGTATTAATAAAAGCTTCCTCTGGATAGCAGAATTAAGCTTGCAGATTAACCTTTGCCACTCTATGAAAAAAATTATTTGAATTGGCAGTTAGCCTATCTTAGCATACACATTTGTATTGGTCTTAGCACTTAAAATATATATGCAACATATTTTTTAAAAGGATCATATTGCATTTCACAGGTAACATTTTTAATTTTAAATGTCATTGCAGAAATAATGTGGTACAAACACTGCATATGTGACTCATTGCTGGTGGGGTTAGAAACTTTCCACTTGAAGTTGCTTTGATTCCTAAAATAAATTTACTTATGTATTTTTTTATATTCCATCTCCTAATTTAAACAGAATTAAAAAATTGAGCTTTTTATGGATTTTTTTTTCCTTTTTTTAGAGACAGGGTCTTGCTCTGTTGCCCAGGCTGGAATGCAGTGGCACAGTCCTGGCTCACTGCAACCTCAAACACCTGGGCTCGAGTGATCTTCCTGCCTCAGTCTCCCAAGCAGCTGGAACTAAAGGCATGTGCTACCATGCCTGGCTAGGTTTTCTATTTTTTTGTAGAGATGGGGTCTCTATGTTGCTAAGGCTGGTCTTGAACTCCTGACCTGAAGCAATCCTTCTGCATCAGCCTCTCAAAGTGCTAGGATTACAGGTGCAAGCCACTGTGCCTGGCCTATGTTTTACTTTCAAAAGAACTATTCTTCAGCATTTCTATTTCTCCTTGAACTTGGAGGGAAGACTGTTGGCAAAAGAAGTCATTACACTAACTGTATTAGATAAACTAACAAAGTCATCCAAATTAGGAAGGATTGGTGGGCCTTCACTTTACATACATTGCGGGGGAGAGTAGTTGAGGCAGGCCAGCCAGATCAGCTGCTTCTCCCCACGGAGCCAAGTCCCTAAGTTAGGGGTCCCCACAGAGGATAAGGAAATTGTAGGCAACTGAGAGAAATAAAAGAATACACAGGGTCTAAGGTATAGTTCATAGTTTTATATATATGAAAAGATCAGATATAACACAGCGGGGTACTCAGGAGACTGGCGTATCTCTATGAACACCAGCAATATGGTTAGATTCATACACGTTTTTATAGTCACAGACATCAATTACCAGTTGTCAGGGTAACATATTTGCATATCAGGGAATGCAGTTGCTAGGGGATACAGGTAGTGGTTGGGGGTCAAAAGTCCTCTCAAGGGGCTTCTAATCTATCTAGGTGAACAAACAGGTACAAAATCTTTCAGGGGCTAACTTCTAACTTCTAAGAGGTAGTTGTCAGTTAACAAAGGTATAACAAAAGAGGTATAGTGACTCTATTTCTTTGATTAGTTATGGTGGACTTAAAGGTAGACAGACAGGAGAGAGCAGGAAGCCCATCTCTATAAAACTGGTTGTTTATAACCACAGGGGCACATCTCTGGGCAAAGTGCACTCACTGTCTCTGGCTCCCATCCTGTGGGCCATATTTGCCTTGCCTTGTCTTTCAAGACACAGGGAAGCTCACAGATTTTGAGATACTGGGAAGCCTTCCTGGAAAACATCCTTACTGGAGATTTGAGAGCTCTCCCATGATAGCAGCCTCTGAGAAGTGAACCATTGAGTCCACACATTCCTTCAGGGCAAAACCCTGCAAACTCTTGTTTCTGTCTTTCATATAGCAATATTGGGTTATACAATAAAATAATGATCTTATGAGCCACATTTCATTAATTCCTAAATCATATTTTCCCAACAATACATTAGAATGACTCACTGAGGCAGCATACATTTCAAAAGATAAATTTTAAATCTTTATTTAGTCCATTAAAATGGCCTCATGTGTAATCTGAAACTGCCCACAGCATACAGAAGAGCTTGTGATCTCTATCCTGTTGCTGAAAATGTGATAGAGGTTGGCAAAACCTTTCTGGCCATAGTTTGTATTGTCCCATTAGCAAGAAGACTGCTAACACTGAGGCCAAGGGCCATGGGGCACAATGGGTGGTGAGTAGAATTCACAGCATCCCACCTGCTCTCCCAATCCTCATTCCCATGCTTGTCAGGATGTCCATCTGGCCTCTGACATCAGGAAAGGCCAGCGGGAGAGAAAAGGGTGCAGGAGCAATACTCAAAGCTTTACTAGTTTACATTGACTATTGACGTTGGAGAGGGAAGCTGTGGATCTCCTCACTTCCCTTCCCCATCACTGTTGACTGTATTCCAAGGCCAAGATGAGGTTTGTGAGACAGAAGTCTTGAGCACAAATCTCTAGTCTGTAAAGTCACCTTCTTGGCTCACTCCCATGACATTTCTCAAAGAGTAGCCAGTGAACACCCACACCCCAAAGTCACAGGGGGTGCTTATTAAGAATGCAGGTTCCTGGGCTCTCCTAAATCAGAATTTCTGCTGGTGGGCCTCAGGAACTTGCATTTGTAAGAAATCTTCTGGATAGTTCTGGTGCATACTGGGGTTGAGCCTTGGTGACTCTTTCCTATGGTCTGAATGTATCCACCAAAACTCATTTGTTGGAAACTTCATCCCTAATTCCACAGTGTTGGGAAGTGGAGCCTAATGGGAAGCCTTTAGGTCATGAGGGCTCCACCCTCATGAATGGATTGATGCTATAAAAAAGGACTGCAGGACGAGGCGCTCTCTCCTGCCCTTCTGCCATGTGGGACACAGCAAGAAGCCTTCATCAGATGGTGGAGCCTTGATCTTGGACTTCCCAGCCTCCAGAACCATAAGAAATACATTTCTGTTCTTTATAAATTACCCTGTCTCAGGTATTTTGTTAGAGCAGCACAAAATAGACTAAGACTGTTTTGGTCTTTAAAGCATAACCAACTCTCGGAATCCCTCTCCCCTCTGAAGAAGTCTTTCCAGGCAAATTGCCATCCTGGTCATGCCCATGATGTGGAAAAACATCCATGAACCTTGAGGATTTGCAATTAAATGCAAACAGAAGTGTTTGCCTCACTTCATCTCCTGAAAGGCAAAGAACAACCTGTCAAGAATTTCACTTGTCCTCTTGCTTCCACTTGGACTTGAAGAGGCCAGACCTCAGGTTACCTGTTCCCTGAGCCTGGTTCTCTGTGACATGAGAGGAGCCACTTGGCAGGTCTGGCGGCTCCATCTCAAACACTGAGCCCCTCCAGCTTGACAAGCCAAAGCTGCCAGTGACCCTCTTGCTCCCACGCCCTAGCCTTGCCTTCACTTCCACAATATCCTAATAGGTATTTTTAGAAAGTCAGTCTTCACTGCACACTCAGAAAGAGTAGGCCATTAAAGCATAATTAAGTAAATTAACAATAATTAATTCATTATGTGTAACTACAGCACAGAATAACACCACATAAATTGGAATACAGCACTGGACTTTAAAACAAAAAAATACATTGAAAAGCAATGTTTAAGTGCAAATAAGATTTTCAATAAAATGCTATATAATTATTACAAATAGGAAAGAAAATGCTATCCTTATAGTTTCCACTTTCTCTTCTTACTGGTTACCAGAACCATGTTTTGAACTAGCTCATTTTCAGCTATCTCTAAAGACCATAGCTGCTACTGAAAAAGCATAAGCAATTTTAGCTGTCAAACAACAAACATTTCTAGAAGATAACCCTAGGCTGAAACCAAAGGCTTTCTATACTCCTCCATGGCTCTCAGACAAATGATTTTCCATTGTCACTGTCGGGGTCACTCCAAGGAGATCTCCATCCTCCCCACCTGGCACCCTTTCCCTATGGCTGCCTAGTACAACACAGTCAAGCCAAAATCAGCTCATGCTAGTGCTAGAGAAGCTTGAGATAGAAGCTCTAACAATGCTCTGCTCTTATGGAAGTTTCCAGTCTTGCAAATCCCAATGAACTAGCTTGCTGGTAGAAATTTAGAATGAAAGGTATCTGGATAGTGAGAGTAAACAGCACAGAATTCTTGTGTCTAACTTCATAAGAGTTTCTTAAAGCCTTCCTCGGAGCACACTCACTCTTCTCATTTGGTTTTCTGTAACCATTTCAGATCACAAGTAGCATTAGAAGGAAAAGGATAGATGGGGACAGAAATGATCACTTAAATAGTAGACTAATGAATTTGCCAATTACCAGACAAAGAAACAACATATTAGTTAATATAATAAGGAGCTATTCAGTGTCTACTACAAACCAGGCATTATGTTGGCCCTGGAAAAACAAAAATGAATAGAACCCTGATCTTGCCCTCATAATATATACAATTTTATATGTTAAGACTAAAAGTATTAACTATGGTTATTTGGTACAGGTATCAAACTAAGGCCAACTTCAGTGGTTAGCTCATGAAACTGTCAGGCAGTCTGAATAATGAAGCCAAGGAGACAGAAGCCACAGAAACCCAAAGAATGAATGAATTCACAGTGATGAGAATTCATACACTGTCATCTAAAGTGGCTGTGATTCCAGCTGCTTCCCATCATCTCCGGGTGTCTCTACTCCAGATTTACTTTCTCACAATAACAGATATTTTTGTTCTACTTGTATCAGCTTCTGTGGTCAGGGAGACAACTTCCTTTGGATTGGTAGCCCAAGAATCTCATGGAGTGAGGACTGATTTCAAAAACACCCCTGCTTTGCCAACACACGTATATAACCTTCTTTCCCTACAAATATTTCCAAGAGGATTCCACTTAAACATGGCTGTGGAATGCTTCCTTGCATTCAGATTCAGCACCCTTGCTCCCCAGCAGAACTCCAAGTGACAGCAGCTGCAACCAGAGGCAAGAAGTGGTGCCCAGTTGGGGGCTATGGACTGGGTTATGTTGCTGGCAAACTAGATATTTGGTTGGGGCCAGATGAGTTTGATAAATAAAAGTCCATGTTTTTGAGTACAAGAATCTTTTCACAATTGGTCACTGCTACGGTCTGAACGTGTCCCCAAAAAAGCATGTGTTGGAAACTTAACTGCCATTGTGACAGTATTAAGAGGTGGAGCTGTAACCAAGTCCAAGCTTGAACCACTCACAGCATGACAGCCAGCAAGTTGAGAGACAAGGTGCAGGAACAAAGGTGACTTTTATTTGGAAAGCCAGCAAACTGAGAAGGTGGCAGACCGGTATCCCAAAGTGCCATCTTAAGTTAGTAATGAGCTTTAGGCTCCTTATTATGTTAAAGGAAGATGGGAAGAGGAGGGAGTTGAGGTCAAGAGGTGACTACCAACTACAGACATCTGGGTGCCAGTGAGAGTCAGAGAAGGTTGTGAAACTTCTTTGTTCTTGGTCAATTGACTTCAGATGGTGTAGGTCAGGTCAGAACGTTCCTATAAATCTTTAACATAGCATTGTTACTGTGTGTATGCTTTCCTTATCTCCTTGGGAGATAGTTTTGGGGAAAGAGACTGTTATTTTTTTTTTTTGAAGTTCAACTGTAAGCTCTCCTCCCATAATTAGCTGGCATATGTGCAGAGCTAAGCAGAAGCTTTTAACCTAAGGGATATTACCTCAGAGGGTCAGAAGCAAAATGGAGCCAGTCATGCTAAGCCTCCCCTCCACTGTGACAGGGCCATTAAGCCACGATTAGGCCATAAGGGCTCTGGCCTCGAGAATGAATTAATGCCATCATCATGGGAGCAGATCATTATACACGATCAGTCTGGTTCCCCCCGCCCCTGCAGCATGAAGAACAGCGTTCCTCCCCTCCGGAGGGGGCAGCGTTCCAGGCACCATCCCCAAGCAGAGACCACGCCCTGGGCAGACAGCCTCCAGACCTCTGAGAAATAAATTTCTACTCTTTATAAATTACCTGGTCTCAGATATTCTGTTACAGCAGCACAACTGGACTATGGCAGTCATCCAGTCCACCAAGAGTCTTTCTGTGGCATACAAAAACATAGTGTTTGTCCCTGGTTCCTGGCACAGAGCTCCTAAAATCCTGAGGATTTCCTGAGTGATAGGAGTGTCTTTTGTTATTTATAACAAACCACTTTCTACTACACCCAGGACTACAGTTCATTATGCTAAAGAGGTGACTTAGGGTGGGGCTGATCACCAGAAAGACCAAAGACCTGGTTAGAGGGAACTTCCAGCCCCACCCACCGGCCAGTGCCACTGGGAAAGGGGCTGTGATCACATAATGATCTCCAATGACAGCTGATGGGCTTCCGGGCTGGTGACCGCGTGGCGGTGCTGGAAGGGTAGCTGCCCAGAGCAGGAGTGGGAGCTCCATGCCCTTCCTCCTCATGCCTTGCCCTGTGTACCGCTACCCTCTGGCTGTTCTGTGTGGTATCCTTTGTAATAAACCAGTAAACAAATGTGAAGTGTTTTCATGAGTGCCATGAGCAGCTTTAGCAAATTATCAAACCTGAGGAGGAGGTCATGGGAACCCCTAAATTTGTAGCCAGCCAGGAGAAATGTGGGTGGTCTGGGCACCCACTATGGCTGGTACCCCAAATGGGGGCTGTCTCATGGGACTGAGCCCTGCACCTTTGGGGTCTGCTGATAAGTGCAGGAGTTAGTGTCAGAATATAATTGAAGTGTTGAATCCCCAGATGGTGTCAGAGAATTGGTGTTGGAAAATATATGAATATTTTGTGTCGGGGAAAAAAAACCTCACACCCTCCTACAGTAAGAGACTTCTGGTTAGCATTCAAACTGGACATAGTCTCGGGCCCTGGGGCTATTCCAAGTGATTCGGTCACCCATTCCTGACCCAAGTTCTCCTGCCATCAGACCCCTATCTCGATCCTCGCAATTACCTAACCATTGACTGGACCAGGATTCAGAACTAAAACAAACACAACCAAGGATCCCTACTGTCCACTTGCCTTCTACCTTTGTCCTTGTTCTTTCTCTTTAACTATGCATCTTCCCTGTCCCATGAACTTGGACTAGGCAATAAGCCACATGGCTAGCAAAAACAACAATTAGTAAGTACCATCTGGATGGTTATCAGGACCATACCAGACATGGAGCATGAGCGCAGGAATGACCCCAACTCAAGTTATGGTCAGAATAGAAGACAATCGCCTCAGCCAAAACTGCAAGGACATATCCTCAACTCCCTTGCACTCTATGGGAACCCTGGTCCTTCTTCAGACAGGGGTCACCTGGTTCCCATCAACTGAAGGAAGCTTTCGGCCTCTGTTTAGTCTCTTGTTTTCTTTTTACGCCAGGAATAGGCACATACATGAACCTCTGGACATCATGGTTTGCAAGCTAAGTGGAGGTTGACACATTCTACTCAAACTACACCCATTTGGAGGGCTTTTTTCCTCTTCCACCGTCCATCACAGCCATCTAGAATGGAAGCAACGCCTCAGCTGCTCACTCCTGCTAGTTGCTACCAGGCTTCTTTTTAAATTCTCAATTGGTCGTGGTACTCTCCTCACGTGGCCCTATGTAGGGTTGCGGCCCTGAGAAGGAGAGCAAAGCCATCCCATGACTTCCAGACATTTACTTGTGTTTTCGGGGACTTACTAGACCCAGTTCAGGACTGACCACTTCTACATGATGCTGCAGTGCTTCTGGGCACAGTCGACTTTATGGCTGGGCAAATCAACTGGGGCCCAGTTCATGATGGGTAGCGTTGACCACTTGGGTCCATGATCTATACCCACAATAGGTACATATCTGCATGCCTTTATTCTGATTTTACAAAATTCCTTTCTCTATATTTTATGCCAGGATTTCTGGCCCTGTAATGTCCTCACTTTGCTTGAGTGAGCATTGGTATAGGTTTGTGATAGTCAACTTAGCAAACTGTTAGAATTGTAACCAGCTGCAAACTTGTACCTTGAATGCAGAGCTTCTGATGAGGACATCCATGTAAACAATGTCAGCTCTATCCAAATGTGGGTTTTACCATTCTTGGTCTACTGCCCTCAAAATCACTTTCTTCAAGTATAAATTAATGAACTCCTGCAATTCCTCCTCTTTCTTACCCTGATTCTGTAGTACACACACACACACACACACACACACACACACACACACACACACTCACTCTCAGACAAGTCAAGTTTGAGTCCTGGTCATTCAGTTGAATGGTGAGCAGGGGTAGAGCAGGAGAATGCTTGACTTTTCCTCCCCAAAGGGATGGCTTCTCCAAGGTGGAGAAGCACAGGGCGAGGGAGAGATGCGAGGGACTTTGGAACCTGGGATTCTCTGAGTCACCCAGGTAATAACAACACCAATACCAATTTCTGTAACCCATCCTTTCCGAATCAGTGCTGTGACTTCCACTTAAGAAAAACCTTGTGAGATGGTGAAGTCAACTGGTACTTTAATTCAGGAACCTGCAAAATCTATCTCTGAGATTGCTTTTTCAGAGATGTCAAAGCCAAAGATATAAGATTCTTTGAGGACAACACCAAGAAGAGACCCTGACGTTTATTTCATGCCTCACAGGAGCACTGAGATTCACGGCATTCTTTTCTTGGTTTCAGTCAGCTCGGGACCCTGTGATTCTGGCAGTTCCCTTAAGTGGTCTGGACAGCAGCAAGCTGGGGCTGCAGGAGACTCAGAGCTTTTGGGAACCATAGGCAATAACTTGGGTGACTGCGCTTCAATGCTTTCAGTCCCTTTGCCACCTTTTCAAGAGAGAGCTCCTGACATGAATCACGTGGGCAGCTCCCAAAGGATGGCCACGGCCCAGCGGCAATGAAAGGTGTCCCTGACAGGGCTATGAAGGGGTGAAGAGAAAGCACAAAGGAAACAGGAGGGACTACATTAATCTCATCTGGAGTGGAGGAAGGAATGCCAGTAGAAAGCTTTATGGAGAAGGTGATGGCAAAATACATCAGGAACTTCTGAGGAACGAGTGGGAATTTGCCACACAGGAAGGAAATTTTGGACCAACATACCCCTCAAAAAACTCAAAGACATGATAATCCTGAGCCCATGTGCAAAACTCTGTTAACCCTGAAGAGAGGGATCAGAGCAAGTTATGTGCAAGTGCACGTTCCCTATGTCTGTGTAGATCAATGGGGTGGACACAGGTGATAGATCCCAGATGGTGTGACACAAGGAGACATGTAGTTGACACTTCCCCAGTCAGTTCTGGTTCCCCTTGCCTTGGCCAGAATCCTAGCGTTCCTCAAACTCCCTTGGGCACTCACTGAAACAAGGGCTGTGCAGCCTGGGGCGCAGGCAGTGCCAAAGCACCCTGCCCAAGAAAAGGGCTGTGAGGGTCACTAAGATCTGCAGGACAGGAGCAAGGTCTCCCTAGACGATTCTGGCCTGGGGCTGCCTCATTTCTTAAGAGATTCACAGTATTCTGAAGAAGCAGAGAGGTTTTGTGAGCTGTGTCTTCAAGTATAAAGACAGAGAGGAAGGGCAGCAGAATTGTTCAGCTCCCACTTATGACAGAAGACAGGGCCCACAGACCCGGGGCCCACAGACCTGGAGCCCGCTCAAGTGACACTTGCTACCAATGGTCAGAGCCCACTTCCAGGAGAGTGCTCACATGTTAAACTCCCCAAAATCTATGCCAGTTTTGAAGTAGGACTATCTAGTGGCATATTAGAGTAACTTTTATTTTTATAAAACTATGGCTAGATTTATAATTAACACTGATTTTTAAAAATGTTTTACTTTGAAATAATTTCAAGTTTACAGAAAGTTGCAAAAATGGTACAAAGAATTCCTGTGTACTCTTTACCCCAGATTCACCAATGTTTCACATTCTGCCATGCTTATCATTTTCTCTGCCTGATTCTTTGTTCTCTATACACACATAAAAGAATGTCCTTGTGATGCGAAAAATGTCGGGCGCCAGGTCCCGGCCGATTGCTGCCTCCTCGTAGTTTCGCATCTCAGGGGACCAGTGCCACACGTGGCCAGTTAGAGGCACCCTGCTGGGGCTGGGCCCCATGGCGCCCAGCCGCCCGGACACCTGCAGGCTGCCCTGGACACCCTCGGGCCGCCGGGACCCTACGTGCCGGAATGCCCCAGACCCACTTGCGGCTGCCTGTTTCGGGCCATGCTCCTTGCGTGATCCTGATTGGGTAATTTTTGAATCCCACTGTTTTCGATTGGATGTTAAAGTTTGTTGTTGATTGGATGTTAAAGCTTGTTGCTGATTGGATGTTAAAGCTTGTAGTTGATTGGACGCTTCTTGAGCCCTACCAAGGGTATAAAAGCAGGGGCAGAAGGGCAGAAAAGGGGTGAACATCTAGAGAACATCGGAAGAAGTGAAGAGGGCTGTAACACTAGGTGTGCTGAGCCTGCTGTAGGAGAGTAAAGGCTGTTCTCCGACTCGACTCTTCGTGTGCCGCTTGGTTCTTTCCCCGGTCAAATGAATAAGCACTGTAACGCTAGCTGTACACACTGCCGCAACACTTGTTCTTAATAAATACACTATATGTGTAGGTGTACACAGGGAGTGATACATATATATGTGTAATATGTGTATATCGTGTAAGACATATATACATATGCAATATAATACATCCATACATACGTGTTTTGAACTATTTGATAGTAAGTTGCAGACATCACACTTCTCTACCCCTTAATGAAGTGCATATTTCCTAAGATCAAGGATATTCTTTTACCTAACCACAGTACACTTATCAAATTCAGGAAAGTTAACATTGACACAATACTTTCTATAATCTACCATCATTTAAATGTCTCCAAAATGTTCTTTACAGCATTTTTTCTTCTTGGTACAGGATCACACATTGCATTTTGTTGTCTCCGTTAACCTAGAACTGGGCCTCAGCCTTTGTCTTTCATATTATTGACATTTTAAATATGACTATCCATTTATTTTATAGGCTACCACTGCACTTCTGCTGATGTTTGTTCACAACAGGATTTACATTGCACATTTTTGGCTGGAACACTGTGTAACTAGTGATGGGCCCGCTAGGCCTCAGAGTGGTGCACGCGGAGGTGCATGATTTTGCTTGCTCTGTGTATCATGATGCTAATTCGATCACTTGGTTAAGGTGTTGTTCAGTTTCTCCTCTTATGGTTATGATTTTTTCCCATTGTAATGAATAAGCAATTTGTGTTGAGAATTGTCACACATTTTACCAAACTGTCAGAACAAGACTTTTTAAAAAAACCCTTTCTGGCTGTGACCTGGCAAACAAAAATTACTTCCCTAAATACTTAACAGAATCAGAAGTGGAGACAAGTTGCAGATTCCTAGGGATGTGATGTCCTGGCACTCTGTGTTTTCTAGCAACTTGCAGATTCAGATACATGAATAGCTTCTGCTCCTCCTCCTCGTGGTTAATGTACTTCACTGCACTACAGCCTGCTCCAGGGACAACAACGTGGAAAATGCATCTCTCTTTCTTTAAAGGACTTTCAATTAGAAAAGTAATTCTTAAAAGAAAAAAAAGTGATTGTAATCTAAGTGATTCTTCACTAGGTATTTGACATCAAAATGGAATGACAGGCCGGGCGCTGTGGCTCACGCCTGTAATCCTAGCTCTTGGGAGGCCGAGGCGGGCGGATTGCTCAAGGTCAGGAGTTCAAAACCAGCCTGAGCAAGAGCGAGACCCCGTCTCTACTATAAATAGAAAGAAATTAATTGGCCAACTGATATATATATAAAAAATTAGCCGGGCATGGTGGCGCATGCCTGTAGTCCCAGCTACTCGGGAGGCTGAGGCAGAAGGATCACTCAAGCCCAGGAGTTTGAGGTTGCTGTGAGCTAGGCTGACGCCACGGCACTCACTCTAGCCTGGACAACAAGGCGAGACTCTGTCTCAAAAAAAAAAAAAAAAAAAAAAAAAATGGAATGACAATCAACATTTATTGAGTGCCTGCTGTGTACTGGACTATGAAGC